CGTATCGTATCGTATCGTACCGGACCAGTTGTTTGTCGTCGTCGCCTCGCACACTCGAAACAATTTGTTCTTCTTTTTGCCCCAACACGTTATTGAATCTCTTTCACCGCGAACTAACTGGTTTTTTCAGTGCTCCGCCACTGCTCGCCAAATACACACACATTAACCACTTTCCAGGGTTCTCTTTCGCTTAATCTGCCTTTTTTGTTGTTTGCCTTTGGTGGCTTTAACGATTAGCGCCTGGGCGTTGAAATTGAATTTGGGCCGAGACGTCGTCGCGCAATTGGCTAATTAAAAACTAGTAGCGTTATTTAACTAACCCCCGGGAAATGGTCGCTGCACTGCGCTCGAAAATTTCGGACCTCGCGCTGGAGAAATGGAAAAATAACAACAACTGCGCCCAGCTGAGCGCCAAGTGTGACCAGCTTAGGTGCTAGAGGTGGGGTAAAATCGATTATGTTATAGACTTATCGAGTACTTGCGGCTTGAAACTTCGGTAAAATAAATAAAAAAATACGGAGAAATACGGTCAGTTTGGCGCGTAAATTATAACAAATTTAAACTTAAGCTAGGGAGGGGGTTCATACTCCTTTTAGCTAAATTTCATATTTGGCGGGACATGATCTAAAATTATAACTGACTTGTAGTTTGAAAAATCTGCCTTTCCAAAACACATAGTTTCCATCAATTGTTTATTTATTTATATAAAGCTAGCTTAAAGTTAAAACTATAGGAGAACTAAATTAAGAGCTCTAGCACCTAGGTTTTCATTGATTTAAAAACACAAGCTCTAGGAGTGCATATTAAAGAATGTCAAAAACAATTAGAGAAACGACTTTTTAAAGTTCGGAAGACGATATCAGTACGTGTACACTGTACTCAGTTCACATATAGTTTAGTTTAGTGAATTTTAGAAAAAACTACTTCACATCGTTTTACGTTGACAGAACTAAGAGTACTATGATTATTAAATAATAAACAAATTTAATATCAGTGAACTAAAAGTACTGATCTAACATAAAATAAAAAAGAAACTGGACTACGAATCCATCAACTTGAAACTAACAGTATGATAAAATAAGAGATATGTAGTTTTGGCATGAATAAGAATGCTTTTAAAACGATATTATCAAAAACCAACCCACGTTTGTATTTAAAAATAGACATATTTATTGGTAGCATTATCATTAATTTCAACCGCTGGGCAATTTGTTAACCTGCTCTGTGAGAGTGGCGACTTAACGTATCAGTAGACAAAAGTAACAGCAGATATAACGAAAGAGAACGTACAAATTGGAATCGAAGTGTCCACAGAGAAGGTAGCGTAGGGCAAAATAAATGGGGCTCGCCGCCGGGGGATGAAGTGCGCCTAATTGATCGGCTGCGCTCGCGACATCCCAGCTGCGTCATGGCCATGGCGAATCAGGGTCTGCTCCTCGACCAGGTCGTCGTCGTCCGGGTCGTTGTTCTCCAGCTGCTTTTGGCGCTTCAGCCGAAGCTCGAACACCTCGCTGATGGCGTCCCGGAAGCAGATGAAGTTGTAGTCGATGACGCCTTGTCGGTTAAAGTTCTCCTCGCGCAGGATGCAGACCAGGGCCAGGAACTTGTTCACCTCCCGCAGGTAGAGTATCGTGTTGTTGTTCAGCTTGATGAGACTAGAGCTTCCGCTATCAAAGGCGGTTTCCTCGGAGCTGCAAAGAACCGATGTAAAACCCAGTATAGATAAATAAATTAATAGGCTTGCCTGTATATGCTGGACAGATCTATGACCACGTCAATCATGTCGCAGCAGAGCTCGTAGGTCTGCATATCGACAGGCGAGGAGTCCGTGGCTATGTATATCTTGGAAACCACGTCGAACAGAAAGGCCTTCTCGATGCCTGAGTTCTACAAGGGTTACGGGATTAGATAAGTAGTTTAAACTCTTAAAAGCAAGCCCAACATACTGGTATAAAGATGTTCAACAGGTTCTCCAGCGTGGGCAGCTGGGGAATGAGCTTCTGCACCACCTTGGAGAAGGCCTCGAAGATCGAGTGATCGTATATGGAGGTCAGATGGAAGCTCAGGTGAATCTGATTGAGGCCGGCCTCGCTGAGGTCATCCGACGACCGCTGGTGGATATCCCGCTGCGATTCCATTTTCGAGTCGTCGCTGATGCCATCCACCTGGGAAGCAAGCAGGTGTCGCTGGGTTATCAACGCCGATAAGCACTTAAATCACGGATATTACCTTGTGTATGAAAACTTCGAACTTGATGCGCTGGTTAACCTTGTAGGCCTGCAGTACTGTGTTCTTGAACTTGGTCAGCGCCTCGTTGTAGTCATCCTTTGCGTCGATGACGAAGACTAGGGCGCCACAGCCACCGAAGATCATATCGGAGTCAAAGGTCGGCTCGAAAAAGTCTATCTGGCCGGGGAAGTCCCAGATCTGGAACTGCACGAAACTGGAGTTGTTGATGTCGTCCTTCACGATCTTGCTGGTGGACTCCAAGAAGAGGGTCTCGTTCGGCGACATCTTGTGGAAGACCACCTTCTGGATGGAGCTCTTGCCGGATCTCCGCATTCCCATCAGGAGAATGCGCGGTTTTGTCTCGCTGTTGCCCGTTGCATTGGGCTCCAGTTCCAGGCCATCCTGGTTGTACGCCCGGTAGCCGAAATCCTTGGGGAACGTGTCCGCCGGATAGTCGTCGTCATCGTAGCTCTGAAAAGGCGTGATGGGATGCAAATCAGGCGGTTCCGATGGGCGGGGGCCAGTGCGCGATATGGCTTCTTTGTCTACTCACCATGTTGATGGAGTCTTTCGCCTTCCACTGAAAGCTGCTTTTGGGGGTGGAGCCGGCTGCGTGTCAGCGGACTTGTGCATGAAACACACAGATAATGGATATAGCGGTCGCGATCAGTTTACTTTTTCTACTTTTCCTGCGGGTTTCTTATCGGAATCACAATGTGTGCACACCTGCGGGCGGAACTCAGCTGTTCCTATCGATAGCAATCAGCTGGGGGCGATTACCAGATGTAAAGCGCTTGGTCACACTCAGAGATGACAGTTTTGAAAAACCTTTTAGGTGCTTTAGTTTTGCAAGACCCACCAAGTCAAGCGAGGGTACTTGCGTTTTCATTACTTTATATCAGTGGTCGGCACACACATACCATCGCAAGCTTGCCTTGCATTAGTGTAAGTGTAACAAACACGAAGCTTGCGCGCGGCGTGCTGAGGCCTGACGTTTTATGCTTTGCAATGAGGTCCTCTGCCGCAGCAACAAAAAAGCGCGCCGAAGCTGAGAAAAAAAAGGCCCGAAGACCCATGCCGAAGTCACTCGAACATCTACGTTATACGTGAGCTAGCAGAGGATGGGCAGAACACTTCCCTATGCTCACTAGATAGAACGCTGCCGACCCCTGCTTTATATTATAAAACAAAACAGTAAAAACTGGATTAAGACAACAATTTTTTTTTTAATTTTAATGAGAATACAAAAAACGCCAAAAATTTCTTACTTTCTTGAATTTTGTGTGAAAATGCCAGCATAGTTGGACTATTTATTGTTCGTACTTCCTTTACTTTTTTTTAGTACTTTTGACTGAAATTTTTTGAAGGACTTGAGAGTAAAACAAGGGAGAACGCTATAGTCGAGTTACTCAGCTAAAGGGACCAAAAGAAAATGGAGATATGCAAGCAGCAAAGCGAGATTGAAATGCGCCACTTACCCGCGATCTCAATACATATGTACATATGTATATGGTTATGTGGGCGGTAGACAGATTTAAGCGTTATGGGCGCTAGAGTGGGCGGGGCAAACTTTTTTTTTGGGTCAATCGATGGGTATTGATGGGAACAACACATTTCAGTTAACATTTTTTTTCTAGCATCAAAACTGTAGAGCCAAAGTTTTGGGCGGCTTGTGGGCGTTAGAGTGGGCATGGCACCCTGCTGAAACAAACTTGCGCTGCGCAAGAAGCTTAGGAATCTGCATGCCAAATCCCAATAGCTAGACCGACTCGGCTAGTGATCCTGATCAAGAATATATATACTTTATGGGGTCGGAAACGTTTCCTTCTGCCTGTTACATACTTTCCGATGAATCTAGTATACCCTTTTGCTCTACGAGTAACGGTTATAAAAGCGTAGTTTTTGACAAATTTTTCCAGCTTATTATTATTCGTTTGCTTTAAAAATTTCCGAACATTTTTTTTGTTTTTGTCGGAAAGTGTGTAGAAAAATTGATTTTATTGTCATACCAAGCGCCCTGTTACTTAACTAAGTTAATAAGTGAAAATTACCTTCCAGGGTCATTACTAGACGATTCGATCTAGCCATATCCGTCTGTCCGTCCGTTTCTACGCAAACTAGTTACTCAGCTTTGAAGCTATCGGGGTGAAACTTTTCCAAAAGTCTTCCTTCTTTTGCAGGTAGTATAAAAGTCGGAGCAAGCCGGATCGGACAACTATATCTTATAGCTCCCATTGGAATACTCGAAAAATTTTTTTTTTATTATAGCTTTGGTGTTTTTTAACATATAACCTCCTACGCTTGGAAATAACTTTTTTAATTAGTTTTGAATTTCGTACTGTAAGACGTATGTTAATATCGTAAAAACTCGAAAAAAGGGTAACGTTTAGTTGTATAGTATCACCTACATTGGTTAGGCGCAACTCTAGTTATAATAAAAAACTCGGAGATACTAAACTAATTTGTTGAAACAAATCTTATATGCCAAAAATTGAGATGAAAAAAAATTAGATTGGACCATTCATTAAAAAGTTATAAAGAAATAAAGGACTCGGTAAATGGCGCGGTGACGTGGTGTGTCTCTATCTCCCTCTCACCCCTTTAAATGAATAACAAGTATTTGATAGTAGAGGCCATCGACTATAGTGTTCTCCTTTGTTTTTAAACAAAGTTAGAAATTATCTGGATTTTGAATTCACCTTTTCATAATTAAATGTTGATTTATTAAAAAGCTTAGGAGATAATGGGTACATTGACATTTTTCGTGTTTTTACCCAAATATTATCCTTTATTTAATTATTACCCAGTGTTACATAATTTGAATAACGGCTTTCGGGGGTGATAGAGTAATCTCTATGGCTTTAACATATTGATCAGTAATAAGACTGTACGAGATCCAGATAAGTTTGCCAACAATCAGGCAAAGTACCAGTTGAAGGAAGCGATGCATTTGGTGAAACCTGGAAATGACATTACAAATTTGAATCTGTGTTTTTAAATCTTCAAAAGTACTACGCACCAAAAGTGTTTTCGTTTAGCCTGATCCAATGTGTCCCAGGACTCCTTAAAAAGGAAACCACGCATGCCGGACATAATGCAAGTGCAGTACTCCTCCCAGTCCAGGCTGGACATATCGAACGGAAATATTGATTTATCTTCCGGTGACATAGACTCCCACATATGGTTGGTATTATTCATATCCATTTCGTACGTTTTTCCGCTAAATGGGTACAGGAGCCTCAGTGCTTCGTGGATCTTGCCATAACTTTTTATCAGGATGGGCTTTTTTCCTTGAAGCCATAAGATGAGATCAAACAGAAGACCGGGCAGCAGGTGATAAAATATACTCCCCACTTTAAATAGCCAAATACATGTGGTGAAGTGGGCAAATGGATACCAAATCGATTTAGTAACCGGAAATTTACTATTGTATTCGAGGTGCATCTTAGTTCCCTCTCCGAATGTGATAAAATTCGTTTTGGCCGGTGCGAGGGTGTAAATGGGCGGTGTCGAGTTTGATCCAGCATTCTTGGCCACATGCCATCCAGAAGCCAAAGCCACGTTGGCGCAGTAGTCGCCAGGAACAATTAATGCCTTCGCTTTAGGATTGGCATATACTAGACGGAGGATTCCCAGCGCATTGCCGTATATCAAGGCTACGAATCCGTGAAGGTTGTCAATCCATCCCGACATTGGTTCCTTGAAATTGGCTAAAACTGCAAATTAGAAAAGATTTATATTAGTCCCGGTTGACATTGAAGATACACAGGGATCTGTTCGCAACTTGTTTAGCCTTTGTTTTTGGAGGAAAATCCAGGAAACCATATCTTATAAATTTGCACATCCTTTGAAGAGTATTTTACATATATAACCATACAATAGCTTACTAATGGCAGGTCGAAAAATGCAGATAGGAACGTCCTTAGCCTCCAGCTGGATCACCTGCTCGGCCAGGGCCTTGGTATATGTGTAGGTGTTTGGAAATTTTCCCAATAAAGCTGGCGCAATGCTGTCCACCACTTCTGTGCTTAAAGACTCGTTAAATTCCAGCACCTTGGCCGCCGGGCATGTCAATATCTCCGGATAGAAGCGCTCCCCGATGTGATCCAAAGGGCAGTTAGAGAAAGCCGTGGAGATATGAACAAAAGCCTCGAGGCACTGCATCTCCTTGGCCAGCTGGAGCATTAAGCTCGTGCCTCGCGTGTTGATGTTTAGGGCCTTATGAAGCGGCTCCACAAAGCGGACGGAAGCTGCACTATGAATGACCACATGGACCTGGGAGGTCAGTATCCTTCGATCCCCGTCGCTGAGTCCCAGACCCAGTTCGCTGCAGTCCCCCGGAATGGGCGTAACCAACTGCAAAGCATTCGGCTTGACCTTGAGCAGGGGCTCAAAAACCTGCAAAAAATATATTCGTCCGATTCGAAATTGATTCATTTTTAAATACCAATTAATAATTATCAAATAAAAACACCTCTTAGCGAGGTAAGAAGTCGTGACGTTTGCACCTTCAACTTACAAAAGTTCTGTAATAAAATTATCTGACGAAAAATGCTTGTAAATTCGTCTAAGTAAGTACACTTTCTAAAATGTGTTTAATCTGCATGCTTCAAAAAAAACAAGGGAGAACGCTATAGTCGAGTACCTCGACTATCAGATACCCGTTACTCAGCTAAATGGAGATATGCAAGCAGCAAAGCGAGATTAAAATGCGCCACCTACCGGCGGTATACAGATTTAAGCGTTATGGGCGTTAGAGTGGGCGTGGCAAATTTTTTTTGGATCAATCGATAGGTATTGACGAGACCAATACATTTCAGTTAAAATTTTTTATCTAGCATGAAAATTGTGGGCGTCACAGGTTTTTGCGGTTTGTGGGCGTTAAAGTGGGCGTGGCAAACTTTTTTTGGGTCAATCGATAGGTATTGATGAGAACATTACATTTCAGTTAAAATTTTCTATCTAGCATCAAAACTGTAGGAGCCACAGTTTTGGGCGGTTTGTGGGCGTTAGAGTGGTCGTGGCAGTCTACTGAAACAAACTTGCGCTGCGTAAGAAGTTTAGGAATCTGCACGCCAAATCTCAATAGCCTAGCTCTCATAGTTTCCGAGATCCCAGCGTTCATCCGGACAGACGGACAGACGGACAGACAGACAGACGGACATGGCTAGATCGACTCGGCTAGTGATCCTGATCAAGAATATATATACTTTATGGGGTCGGAAACGCTTCCTTCTGCCTGTTACATACTTTCCGACGAATCTAGTATACCCTTTTACTCTACGAGTAACGGGTATAAAAACTTAGCTTTTAAGCATAAAACGGCAAATTTCATTGCAGCGTGCCGAATAAGAACATTTTAAGAAAGTATTTCTTCAGTCGACATTTTCGCCGAACACGAATCTATAGCATTAGTTGTATAGAAACTAAATCTACCTATTTTTGTTGCTGCCTAGTACTCAACCTAACAAAAAGTCATCCAAAGCCAAAAACTTTATATAATAAAAACGTCACAAAATTTTGTGTGGTTTTTATACCCTTGCAGAGGGTATTATGGTTCCAGTCAGAAGTTTGCAAAGCAGTGAAGGAGACGTTTCCGACCCCATAAGGGATATATATTCTTGATCAGCATCACTAGACGAGTCGATCTAGCCACGTCCGTCTGTCCGTCCGTTTCTACGCAAACTAGTCTCTCAGCTTGAAAGCTATCGGGCTTAAACTTCTTTCTTTTGCAGGTAGTATACAAGTCGGAACCAGCCGGATCGGACAACTATATCTTGTAGCTCCCATAGGATTCATCGGAAAAAAAAATTTTTAAAAATGATATCTTTGGTGTTTTTTAACATATAACCTCCAACGCTTAGAAAAAATATTTTTTAATTAGTTCTGAATTTCGAATTTAATTTGATCAAAATCGGACGACTATATCATATAGCTGCCATAGGGAAATAATATGAAACAAATTATAGCTTCGGTGATTTTTGGCAATTTATCTTATACTATTGGGAATATCATTTTTTGTATTTTTAAGAATTTAGAATTAAATTTAATAATAATACTTCCATTCTTGTTTTGACATAAATTTTTTGTTAGGTTGAATACTAGGCCTAAACTGGTATGTTTTTCCAAAAGTCGTAGAATAAAAGTTTTCTATCTCTATCTTTTTAATACACCCATTTAGTCGCCAGGACCCTTAAACCAAAGAGGGATTCATACAAACCCACCAACAAAGGGACAAACATTTGCATTTTGGAAAGTCCCCCAAAATCTTGTTTTTGCCATAACAGCTGTTACCACGTAGACTGCCGTTCCACAATGATATCTCGAAATTTTGCTATCATCACGGATCCCATATGCACATTGAGGTGGTCTAACAAATATAATCATGTTCTTAATCTTAACTTTGGTAGATTTTGATGTGAACCAAACTTATTCAAGGAAATACAATTTTTTATTTAAAGATTTAGGCTTTTAAAATGTTAAAGTCGATGGCCTCGACTATCAGATACTCGTTACTCAGCTAGACAGGTTTTAGCGTTATGGTCGTAAGTGTGGCGTGGCACCTCGAATCTGCATGACTAATCGCACCTTTTTAGCTCCAAACGAATCTAATATACCGTATTACTCTACGAGCAAGGGATATTAAAATGTGCGCGCAAGAACGACGGTTTCCGATTTCGTCTTTACCTACCGGTGAAAAGTTGTATTACTTATAGCAATATTTAAAGGGTCCGAGTTGGTACAATTTTGGTTGGTTAATAGACATAATAATGTTTCTGTTCAAGTGGGCGCCAGAGAAATGTGAACTGGCCGCTCAGCAGCTGCGATTTGACACCGTTGGATATTTCTTCTATATGTCGACTCGTAAACGATTGTTGCTATTGAGGACGATATTGAAAATGTGCTGACAAATTAGGTCGATGGCCACTGCAATGCCTTTCGGGGCGACGAATGAAGTGGTCTTCCAAAAATGAGCAGCAATGGAAAGGCTTTTGAAATAACATTTATTGACAAAATGCACCCGTTTGTTTTTGTATAGCCATTTAAAACATTTGTAGTCTTGCGCTGTGCAAGAATGATTACCATGCGAGTAACGCGTACAAAATTGTTCTGCCATTTCTATTCATGTAAATGTATTGACATTGTTGGAATAATTTTTATAGTGGGGGAGACCAAAAGTCAACTGTTTGGTTGTAATCTACGTCACCTTGATTAGAATAAACTTTGAAGCCAAAGCGCGGGCCATAAAACTCATTTGTTTCCGGAAGCTTTCCATGCAAATGTGGACAGCCCTATTGAACATATATATATATACTTAATTTAGTTGCATTAAACCAATAATTGTTATTCATTTTACATAACTTTCATTTTACATTCATTTTTTTTATTTTAATGAATGTCTTGCACGAAAATTGGAAGACTACATCCTGGATCATAATCACTCAACCATTTTAGTATAACTAAAATTTTATACAATTTTTCACGTAATCACAAAAATTTGACTTACAGGTTCGTTTTTCCAAACTTCGAATCGTCCTTGCACACTGTCATTCTTCTTCGGCCTCACCAAAAAATATACACGTTTAACATCTGTGGAACGCAACAACTTCTCAATGATCACTGAAAGAAACACGGAAGAACAATTAGGTACTCGTTCCATTAAAATAAAATTTTCCATTTTACACTTGTATCTACTGACTGTGACGTTATTGACGATGTTCTTGCTAGGTGGCATAAAATCATTACATATCAACGAGTGGTCCGAATTAAACAATTTTCGGCGTGCTGATAAGTATTGACATAGGAATAAAAAAAAATACATTTTATATTTTAATCCTTGAATCTGTGGGTGCCACAGGGCGGTTTGTCGGCGTTGGAGTGGGCGTGGCACCCTTTTGAAATACACTTGCAATGCAAAATAATCTCTAAAATCTAAATGCTTAATCCCAATTTTTAGCATTATAAGTTTTCGACATACCAGCGTTCATCTGAAAATTTTTTTTGATGTTCGTGGGCGTTGAGTGGCGTATCAAAATTTTTTGGGTTTATTGATAGGTATTGACGAGAGCGATACATTTCAGTTAATATTTTTATTGTAACATTAAAGCTGTAGCTTTTATAGTTTCCGCTTTTATAGTTGTCCGTAGTGATACGGACAGACGGACATGGCTAGATCGACTCGGCTACTGATCCTGACCAAGAACAAATTAACTTTTTGAGGTTGAAAAGGTTTCCTTCTACCTGTTACACACTTCACTTCGTCTTCATACAAAAACGATTTGTACTATAAATTTAATCCGGATATATCCTTGCTATTGTCAGGTGGTATACCTTTGCCCAGAAATCCAGTTCCTCCTGTTACGAAAACAGTCTTGTTGTGATAAAATTTCAAAATGTCAGTCTGCATTTTGATAATGATACTGGCACCGACGGCTCGCCTTCACAAATGAGCAGTGCTTTCTCTATTTACTATATTTATAATCGAATGCTAATGCGCTTGTGGTGTTCATGTAAGCCATTAATTATGCAACCTGTAAGGTACATCTAATTGTGCAAGCTAGTCGAATGTAATTCATTCGTAAATGATTAAATGACCATTTAAAGCAGGGCTGTGAACCATTTCGGAGCCGAACCACTCAGCCGCATATTTTCTTAATATTACTCAAAAGCTTGCAATTAAAACGCGGAAGAACGCTTTAGTCGAGTGCCTTAGCTAAAGCGAGTGCCTTAGAACCGAGCAGCAAATCGAGACTGAAAAGCGCCACCTACCCGCGATTTCAATATATAGTTATGTGGGCGGCGGACAGATTTAAGCGTAATGTGCGTTTGTGGGCGTGGCACTCTTAGAATCTAAGTGCTTATCCCACATTTTACTTTTTCAAAGATTAAAACTTGAATAATTTGTATTACCAATCAGCACCCCGAAAATGGTTAAAATTGGACCATTAGTTAAAAAGTAGTGCTTTTACGCCCCGATCTAGAAAGCGCATCGTTAATAACGTGCCTGCCATTAGATACATGTGAAAAGTGTAAAATGTTTAATTTTAAAGTCTTTTAACTTTGTAACGGGTATCTGATTGTCGAGTCACTCAACATGGCTCTTCCTTGTTTTAATTTTAAAATAACTTTCTGCATTCATCTAAAAAGAATAACTTTCTAGCCTGTATAGTTTCCGAGATCTAAGCGTTCATATAAACAGGCAAACGGGAATGGCTAGATCAAAAATACATACAAATGTACATTGTACATATACTGTGTTTTTCAATGAAAACCACTTAATATTTTAACACTGTGAAATTCTGTTAAAAAACACAGCGTTGAGTCGTGTACAATTTATATTGATGCACATAAAATTTAACCTAGCTTTCCATGGCACCCCATATAATATATTTGTATTTTCTTTGAACAGATAAATAAGCCTTATTATTAAAAAAAAAAAAACTGGCGCCCCAAACATTTTTTATATATTCCGCTTTGGCCTTTCAGTTGCTAAAAAAGTTTAATTTTACCAACTTGCTCACTTAACGAAACAAAAAACGTACAATTAGTCAACTCTAAAACTACTGGGCGGCCAATTTAGCGTCCAACTGGCCCAGATCGACGCCCAGTTCCCTGAGCCGACTCTCCTGTTCCTTGGTGTCCAGTCCGTGCTCCTTGTTGTATTTGTAGTTGACCGTGAGCTGAACCTCTTCCAAGCCGCTAACATGGTCGTACAAATTGCCCTCCAGCCGCAGATCGATGTCGCTTTCCTCTCGCAGAGCACAGAAGTACAGGAGGAACACGCCCAAGCTGGCGGAGATCACGTACGGCTGGTACCACAGCGACTCATCGCTTCCTCCGCTCCGGGTGTCCTTTGCCCGCCAAGTGGCCGCCTGGCTGCCGAAGAACTTAATGGGCTCGTTGCTGACCATGTCCTCCTCCGGTTTCTGGCTGGCTGCTCCTTGATTTTTCGCATAGAAGCGGGATGCAGGTGGAGTACCACCTGTCGCTGGCACCAATTGCCTGCGTAAACAGCAGATTGTTACACCTCTTTATTTGTGGTCTCGAGTTTACTGTAACTTACCGCAAGGCTCTTGTTTTTGTCAGTAAACGCAGCATTTTCGATGCGGAACTCAAACAAATTTCATAACAAAATTGGTAAAACAGCTGATCTCGTGTGGAATTAGAGATGAGGGAACTTCATTGCCGGCACTTAGTTCATCGATGTATCGATGGCTTGCAAAATATCGAAAAAATATAAAACAAACGAGAAGGAAAAACATTTTTAGGACATCTAAAAATATTTATAGTAATAGCCATTAATAAAACTAAAAATTATAAGACATGAAAATAAATGCTTTTCAGCTTAAGCTATTTTCAATTTAAATACTTTCGACTAACATCGATATTCGTAGACGACTACTTTGCCACTGTTTATCCCATCACTAGCGAGCCACACGTGTGTTTTAAATTGTAAACACGCGCTGGAGTTTTTAAATAATTTTTAGCCGGAAAAAATGGGTGCAACCAAGAACCTGGACTTGATAGGCACCATTGAGGACGATGCCGAGGTGGAGAACTTGTCGGAGGACTCCGATGCGGAAGTGGAGGTAGGGAAGTCACAGTGTTAAACCCAAATCCAAACTGAGCTCCGTGGTTTTTCTATAGTACCAACCCACCAAACTGAGACACAAGAAGGTGACGGAGTTCGAGAAGGGATTCGAGTTCGTGTCCTCAGTGAAGGAGTACAACCAGGACACCTGGGACGACTTGATGAAGTATGTGAAGAGGAAGGCGCGCACAAAGACCGATGACAAGATCGCAGCCCGGCTGCAAAAGAGAGGCGGCGCTGAAGCAGTGGCCGCGGAGCAGAGCGATGGGAGCGAGATTGATCTTTCCGAGGACGAACTGAAGCATGATAACCTGCGGCTGAGGGAGAAGAAACAGTCCAAGAACAAGAAAAAGAAGGGCGGCGAGGAGGATGAGGAGGAAGAGGGCGAGAAGATGCAGTTCGACGACACTGTGGAGGCCAACGAGCAGATCACCTCATTTTACCAAATGAATCTGTCGCGTCCCCTGATGCGTGCCATCGGAGTGCTGGGCTACATCTACCCCACGCCCATCCAGGCCTCCACGATCCCGGTGGCCTTACTGGGTCGCGATATCTGTGGCTGCGCCGCCACGGGAACTGGCAAAACTGCAGCTTATATGCTGCCAACCCTAGAACGTCTGCTTTATCGTCCTCTTAACAACAAGGCCATTACCAGGGTTCTGGTTCTGGTGCCCACCCGTGAGCTGGGAGCCCAGGTCTATCAGGTGACCAAGCAGTTGTGTCAGTTCACCAGCATAGATGTTGGTCTGGCAATCGGTGGTTTGGATGTGAAGGCCCAGGAAGCGGTACTGCGCCAGAATCCCGACATTGTGATTGCCACACCCGGACGTCTCATTGATCACATCAAAAACACTCCTAGCTTTACTTTGGACTCCATTGAGGTGAGAAAATCAAAGAGCAAAACGTTATATTACCTTAGCTATGATGATTATCCATCCTTGCGCTCTGAGCTCTTTCCCGAGCTAAGAGGACAATATGGTTCTTGTTTCTGCGCGGCAGATGCAAGCTGATCCTTAAGCTATATCCATTTTTATCGCAGATGTTTCTGTATTATTTAATGACATGAAATCCCGAACAGGTTCTTATTCTGGACGAGGCCGATCGTATGTTGGACGAGTACTTCGCGGAACAGATGAAAGAGATCATCAACTCCTGTTGCAAAACTCGGCAGACCATGTTGTTCTCTGCTACGATGAGCGAGCAGGTCAAAGATCTGGCTGCTGTTTCGCTGGACAAGCCTGTGAAGGTGTTCGTTAACAACAACCAGCAGGTGGCCTTTAATCTGCGCCAGGAATTCATTCGCATACGTGAGGATAAGGAGGGCGACCGCGAGCCCATCCTGGCTAGTTTGATTTGCCGAACGTTCCATGACCACTGCATGGTGTTTGTGCAAACCAAGAAGCAGGCCCATCGATTGCACATTTTGCTCGGTCTTCTGGGCGTCCGAGCTGGTGAATTGCACGGCAATCTTACCCAGCAACAGCGTCTGGAGTCGCTTAAGAAGTTTAAGGAGGAACAGATTGATGTGTTGATCGCCACTGATGTAGCCGCTCGTGGTCTTGATATTGTCGGCGTCAAGACGGTCATCAACTTTGTGATGCCCATCACCACAGAGCACTACATCCATCGAGTGGGTCGTACCGCTCGTGCAGGTCGTGCTGGTATCTCCGTTTCGCTGGCCGGCGAAAAGGAGCGTAAGATCGTCAAGGACATTATCAAGAACGCCGAGAGTACTATCAAGAATCGTATTATTCCGCCAGAGATCATTGAGAAATACCGCAACAAACTTACGAGCCTGGAGCCAGAAATTCGTGAGTGCTTTTAATGAAAACATTTGTAGTTTTTCAGCTATTAATTGTGGTCTCCAATTTAGAGAACATTCTGGATGAGGAACAGGCTGAACGGCAGCTAGCCAAAACGGAGCAACAGCTTTCCAAAACAGAGCGCAAGCTGCTGGGCCAGTCCAACGAGCGACGTGGTTGGTTCCAGACGAAGCAGCAGCGCGAGGCAGAGAAGGATCGCCTAGCTTTAACTACGGGAGACGAGGAGAAACCAGCTGGTGGAAAGGGAAAGGGAAAAACAGCCGGAAAGCGCAAGCGGCCTGAGTACGGAGGCGACGGCGAGGATGGACCGCCGGTTAAGGAGCTGGAGGCAAAGCGAAACAAGAAGAAGAAGGAGGAGCCCCGAAAGAAGACGCCCGAGCAGCTGGCCAAGGAACGGGCCATGAAGGAAATCGAGAAGGTATCGCTGGTGCGTGCCAAGATGGCCAAGCTGCGCAAGCGACCGGGCAAGCTGGGAGCAGCCACCGAAGCCCACAAAGGCGGTGCCTCCGACAGCAAACCCAAACGGCGCGGCGGTCAATCGGCATTTACTAACGATTTGACTGATGTCAGTCGAGGTGGTGCCCTGCGTTTAAGGTGAGTTTCATTGCTCTTTTCCATTTTTTTTTGGTTTGGCTTATTAACTAATAACTTTCTTGTTTAGATCCGAGGCAAATCGGCACAAGAAAATGACCAAGATTACCGCCAAGAAGAAGGCCAGCAGCGTAAAGATTACTAACAAGGCGGGAAAGAATAAGTTCAACAAGGGCAAGAGTTTCGGTGGACCGCGGTACGCCAAAAAGGATAAAAAGAAGTAGAACTGCAAAATATAGATGTATGCAATGTTAAATCGTAATTTTGTAAAATAAAACTTTTACTTCTTTAAGGCATTGAATTGTTTTCCTTTACCGCAAACTGAGGATCACATAAAAAAGTTAGAGGTGTAACTAAAAGAAAAAATATGTGTTTGAATAATATTAACTAAAAGATGATATTTTATTGTATTAAAAAATTAATATCCAATTCACATTTATTAATAGTTTTATGTTTGGTAATCCTCAATCGTTTGGTTTAAAAAGCGCGCCATTGATTTATCGGTAACAATCGATGGAACAAGCTTTTGCAACCCTACTTTTGCTTTGTTGTTTTCTTCCTTTCGCGTTTTTCCTGATTTTTGGCCACAACAATGTGCTAGGACTCCTTAGTTTGCATTTTTCTGAATCCAATCCCACAAGATGAGCAGCCGAAGCCACTACGGACCTCCCCGGGACTCCGACTCGGACAGCAGCTACGATGGCTTCTACTTCTCGGATGATGTGAGTGCTCCTCCTTGGTACTGCTTCATTCGGAATAATCTTTAGGAGCCTCACTTTTTACACTGCCCAGAGGAAACGCTCGAAGCCCGCACCTTATGTGGATCCCGAGCAAAAGCTCTACAATGCGGTGCTCGACGGAGATCTACAGACGATGCGGGAGGAGATGCAGAAGCTCGTCTTCCAGGTGGACCAGACCGTGAAGGGAGGCCCCAACTTGCTGATGCTCGCCTGTCGCGAAGGACACTACGAAATTGTTGAGTGGTTGGTGGAGAAGGCAAAGGCCAACGTAAACCGGCAGCTGGACTCGGTGATGCCGCTGATGATGGCTTGCGACAGCCAAAACAAGGATCCGTATGTGGCGGAGAAAATAGTGCGCCTCCTCCTGCGCCACGGGGCCGTGGTCAACGTGTCCGACAAATACGGAATGACACCCTTTATGTTCGCCTGCCAGAACGGCTTCACCGGCGTGGTGCGCCTCCTGATCAAGGACGTCAGCTTCGATGCAGTGGACAATCAGGGCTGCACGCCAATCTTCCATGCCATCGAAAAGAATCACGTGGAGGTCGTCAAGCTGCTGGTGGAAGCAGGCGTCAATGCCACGATAGCTAACAACAAGGGATACACGCCCACCCAGGTGGCTGAGTGCCACGGATACTACGATCTGCTGGAGATCCTGCCGCGTCCAGCCTCCACCTACCTGGTGCCCACCCACTTCCTGGGCTACAACACGCTAAGGGATCACATTCCACGCATCTTCCTGAAAAGTGACTGCCCGGAGTATTTCCAGGAGTTGAACGGCATCCTGCAGTCCATCAATGTGGGAAATATGGTTCAGCATTTTGCCATCGCACGGACCTCGCTGGCCGAGTTCCTGGTCATGGATGAGGAGTCTCTCCGAAAGGTGGGCATCGAGTATCCCATCTACCGTCACAAAATATTGAAGGGCATTCTGGAGTGAGTGGATTTTAATGTTAGGTGACCGCAATGTAAAGCTTCTTTCTCCGCAGCTTCCATCTTCATCATTGGTGTAACTCGTCGATTGCTCGAGTCAAGGAAAAGGACATGGACAAGTGGGTGTGATATTGATTATGTTCTTATTAACTTACAAACTCCCATTCAGCTTTTACGAGATTCTAATGATCGCCGCCAATCATCTGCAACATTTGGTTATCATTCAGGCCTCTTTGCGATTCGTATTGAAGAACCAAGAAGAAAACCAAATGGGGCATCCTAACGAGACGCAGCTGGCCACTATAAAGACCAATGTTCAGGGATATCGCGATGTGCTCAACCAAATAACAAAGACCGTAAAATACGTAAGTTTTGAGTTAAAAGTACTTGAGACTCTAAAAACGATTAATTTATATTATATTTTTAGCTTGGGTCGTTCAGTCCCCCACAGAATCCTCTTTTCATTGACTTTAACGAAATCCTGGCCGAGAGGAAGCGCAAGAAGGTGCGCAACTACTTCAAATACACCACCATTATCCTCGGAATCTCAGTTTTCATTTGCCTCAAGTGCAAGTGGTTCTCATAGTATTCGTATCGCTGCATTTCCAGAATCATTTTTAACAATGCTTTACAAATAACGTTGTTTTCCATACCACTTGGTGAATCGGAATTCATTTGTTTTTCCAAATCAAAATAGTTTTAGTTGAGAAAAGTATTTAGTTTAACTCAAATTTCCTTTAAAGTTTCTCTAAAATACCACTTGGTGAATCGGAATTCATTTGTTTTTCCAAATCAAAATATTTTTAGTTGAGAAAAGTATTTAAGTTTAACTCAAATTTCCTTTAAAGTTTCTTTAAAGTAGACAATTTACTGTTGAAAAACGTGTAATCTCAAATTACACATTTAAGTTTAACATAAGTAATAAACTATAAATATATTGTTGAGACAATAGAAGTTCAAGAGTAATGAAATGAAATGTATCAAATGTTACCTGAAACTCGAAAAAATACCTGAACTTAAAAAAAAGAGTATATAAAAGATAAAATCTGAAGTTAAAGAAGAAACTCACAATAACTTTAACTTACTTTATAAAAGTAGCTTTAGGCGTAAAGAAGTACCAACATAAACTAGTGTTATTTGTATTAACCGATTAATAAAGGAGTTGTTATTAAATGAAATGGTTTTACTATTAGCTTTATTCAAGGGACGTAAACGTTATAAGTATCATGATAAAAATCACAAGTAATTGAATATTTGAGATTATTTTTGCAATCATTAAATTTTTTTTCTCTTAATATTAATCTAATTTTTTCAAATAATTAGAATTAGTGATTACTTAACTCAAACTTACTGACATTCTGTTATATTCCCGCGCAATCAAACGGTCACACTAGTTTTTGTTTACAATAATTACCGAAAGATATTGCGCCATGGAGCCGGGCGTCATCCGGAAGTTGGACGAGGTGGTGGTCAACCGAATAGCCGCAGGCGAGATCATCCAGAGGCCCGCGAACGCCCTGAAAGAGCTGCTCGAGAACAGTTTGGACGCCAAGTCGAGTCACATCCAAGTGCAGGTTAAGGCCGGCGGTCTGAAGCTCCTCCAGATCCAGGACAATGGCACTGGGATACGGCGCGAGGATCTGGCCATCGTCTGCGAACGCTTCACCACCTCCAAGCTGTCCCGCTTCGAGGACTTGGCCCAAATAGCCACGTTCGGGTTTAGGGGAGAGGCCCTGGCCAGCATCAGTCATGTGGCGCATTTGTGCATCCAGACCAAGACGGCGAAAGAGAAGTGCGGCTACAAGGCCACTTATTCGGATGGCAAGCTCCTGGGACAGCCAAAACCGTGTGCCGGAAACCAGGGAACCATTATTTCCATCGAGGATTTGTTCTACAACATGCCGCAAAGGAGACAGGGGCTCCGTTCGCTTGCGGAGGAGTTTCAACGACTGTCCGATGTTCTGGCCAGGTACGCTGTCCACAATCCCCATGTGGGCTTCACTCTCCGCAAGCAGGGCGATGCACAACCTGCCCTGCGCACACCAGTGGCCAGTTCCCGGTCCGAAAACATTCGAATTATCTACGGGGCAGCCATTTCCAAGGAGCTACTGGAATTTAGCCACCGGGATGAGGTTTTCAAGTTCGAGGCTGACTGCCTGATCACACAGGTCAACTATTCAGCCAAGAAGAGCCAGATGCTCCTGTTCATTAACCAGCGGTTGGTGGAGTCAATAGGTGGGTGACATAAGCTTCGCCCGTTTTAAATTAATAAGACAATCTTCCAGCTCTCAAGGCCGCCGTGGACTCGGTGTATGCCACCTACCTGCCTCGAGGCCACCATCCCTTCGTCTACATGAGCCTCACGCTACCGCCCCAAAATCTGGATGTGAATGTTCATCCCACCAAGCACGAGGTGCACTTCCTGTACCAGGATGAAATTATAGAAAAAATCAAGCAGCAGGTAGAGGCCCGACTCCTGGGCAGCAATTCCACGAGGACCTTCTACAAACAGCTTCGACTGCCAGGAGCTCCAGACCTGGATGAAACGCAGGCAGCGGATAAAACACAGCGCATCTATCCCAAGGAAATGGTGCGCACCGATTCCAGTGAACAAAAGCTGGATAAGTTTCTGGCGCCTTTGATCAAAGTTGAGTCAGGTGTGTCGCTCAGTTCCTCCCAGGAGGCTCCTCCTCTGCCAGAGGAGAGTTTTCGAGTCACTGTGGCGAAGAAATCCCGAGAAGTGCGCCTTAGCAGCGTGCTGGACATGAGAGTCCGGGTAGAGCGGCAGTGCAGTCTTCAGGTCAGAAGCATCCTCAAGAACATTGTCTATGTGGGTTGCGTAGACGAATTCCGCTCACTATTCCAGCATGAAACGCGCCTTTATATCTGCAACACCCGCTCCTTCAGTGAGGAACTCTTCTACCAGCGGCTGATTTACGAGTTCCAAAATTTGTCTGAGATTACTATAAATCCGGCGCTGCCACTGAAGGAGCTCCTAATGCTTTCGCTGGACAGCGAGGCCGCTGGCTGGACGCCCGAGGACGGCGATAAGGCTGAACTGGCTGCCAGTGCTGCTGAGGTACTGATTAAAAAGGCTCCTATTATGCGGGAGTATTTCGGGCTGCGCATCTCGGAGGAGGGCAACGTGGAATCTCTCCCCAGTTTGGTAGCCCAGCATCGTCCCAATGTGGCCCACTTACCAGTTTACCTTCTGCGCTTGGCCACCGATGTGGATTGGGAGCACGAGGCTCGTTGTTTCGAGACATTCTGCAGGGAAACAGCTCGATTTTATTCCAAATTGGATTGGCGGGAAGAATCGGCTGGAGCACATTCCAGATGGATCACGGAACATGTCCTATTTCCAGCCTTTAGAAAGTATCTCCTGCCACCGCCTCGTCTCAAGGAAAAAATCTTCGAGCTCACCAACCTGCCCACGCTTTACAAGGTGTTCGAGAGGTGCTAGTATGCATTTTTAATGTTCTTTTTTGTTTAACAATAATGCTTTAGAAACAAGATCTCCTGGATCATAACATATTCAACTATATTGATATATTTCAGGGACCGTAACCGGTATAACTCTTACTTTTAAAATCAATCTTTAATCGTTATTTATCGCCCTTTTATTTATAGGTCATATAGTAACTGTATTTTTCAACTTTAATATAAATGTCTTAAAATAACAATTATTTTCTGGTTAAAAATTAAAAGCCTTCCCGTAACATTTGTTCAATGACTTAAATGAAAAGATAAAAGTCTAAATATCTGTTATTCGAAGACTTTTACTAAAAAATTTATTAAATAGTTATTTAATGATCAAAAATATACAAGTCTTTAATATCTGTTGCCAACAGAAATAACGCAGAGAGGTCGTCTGTTGGAATTTGGTTGGTTATAGAGAATTATGGATGGTTTCAAATGGTTAGCAATAAAAATTTGTTAAAATAGTCAAGTGTTTACTCTTGTTCTAAAGAATTCGCGGATTCATATATTTAGTAATTCGCGGATGGCTTAAATTGGCCAGCGCTAACAAATATGTAACAATGGTCAAAATTGGTTCCTCTTGTTCTGAAGAGTTCGCGGTTCCATTTGTTACCATTGTGAATAGTGGTTCCTTTTGCTCTGAAGAATTTGGGGTTGCATTGTGTCAATGAATTTATGTGTGTAAGTATGAAATCCAATCTTAAGAACATATATACATAAGCAAAAAATGCTACCGAACACAAACAAGATGCAAGCCAAAAATATTTTAGACTTACATTTTCGGTCACCAAATAAAAATTATTTAATAACTTTTTTAATAAGGGTTCTCATAACAGTTACTTTGACTTTTTTTTTCAGTCTAAACTTTTGTTTAAAAGTCACTGAATAAAAGTCACGGGAAGAATTTTATTTTTCAGTCAAAAAATATCTTATTTACAGACTTTTATATAATAGTCAGACAATAATAGATACTTTATGACCATTTCCAAAAAAGTAAAATTTTTTGTAGGTCTTTGAATAGACTACATTAAATTGGTTTTTTTAATTTTTTTATATCAGATTTTTAGTGTAACCCGACTTGTTCGATCAGAAGTAATAAAATAACTTAGTTTCAGTCCCTTATATATTTCCTTAATTTTTAATTGTTTTGGGTTTTTGCTATTGATAGCCATAATGATAAATTTATAGACCTTCATGATTGCACTGCAAAGATTTTAAGGACCTTTGGAAACTTTCGAACAGTTTGTATTCAGGATTAAAGAATTCGATATCATTATAATGAAGGCTTCAAAGCATTTGACAAATATATAAGCATATGGATAAGGTCAGGGAATACTAAGTATTCAAATCCGGCTGTCGGAGACGTGAGACCCGCTCGGCATTCTTGACGTGCTCCTTCAAGAGCATCATAATCTCCGTGTCGTACTCCTTGGGAACGGGCTTCACGTCGGTGGCCCAGTAATAGATATCCCAGTCATTGCTGACCCCGTTGATTAACTGATCGTATAAAGCCGTCTGCTCGGCGCTGAATTTCTGAAGGTGCTTGGCCGCAAATGTGCTGAGAAGAAGATCGTTTTCCAGCATTCCGCGCTTACGGGATTGATACAAAAGACTGGAAAGGATTGTAATATGTTCAACTGAATAATACGGCATATTACTAAGCTCGTTTTGCCTAGTTTTATAGGTCCCTTAATATCCTCTTTAAAATAAATAGATATATTGTGAAAATATCAGGGACCGTAAATAATCATGATTTTTGATTTTTACTTTAAATAACCTACTAGATATTTTGGTATTTCCTTTTCCAATTTGGCTGATTTTTAGGTACCTTGCGGGCAAGAGTAAATAGATTGTTAGTTTTTCTTCTAATTGAATATTTTAAATAGCCCTCGTGGACAAGAGTAAAAATAGTAATATTTTTGACATGTAAAAGTAAGAATCACAGTGGTCTTTCCAAAATAAAACTCACAAGTAATGCTTATTTTTGGTCCCTGGAAAAATATTAATGGAATTTAAATTGATATTATATGATATAAAGTAAAATTAAAATATCTGTTAAAATTAAATCAAGAGGGAAATATTCGAAAAATGTATAATTTTAATCATGTATACATAAATATTTTAAGAGAAACTTGTAGTAATGATCTAATCCGAGCTATGAAATCCATAATTGTACTCACCGCTGCTTTCGAATATCCAACGGCTCGTTGGGACGCACAGGATATTCCGGCAACGGCAGATAGTCCGGGTCCTCGTAGTCGACAATCACATCGTCAAAGGTGCTGGTCAGTGGCGGAGGAGGATTCCGCACATTTGAGGCACAGCGTGTCCACGGCAAAAAAATCCAGCTCGAAATATCCATCGTCATCTGCTCATTGCAAAATTAGTATAAATAGAAGTGCACAAAATGCAATCTTATGTAACTGCATTTAGCACAATTTTAAAGCCTCACCCTTAGTTGGCGCAGCATTTTGAGGACAATCACCGCTTATAGAATTGTTTGCTTATAAAGTTTGGAAGGAAGTTTTCGATTTATATTAGATTTGGAGACAATTCGAAAAATCAAAATATTTTGACAGCGGCCGGCTGCTCGATTTGTGACTAAAAAACGAAAAAAGCATTGCCACTTTTACAGAGCTCTTTTAGTAAAGGTTTGCACCTGATTTGAAATTTGCTTGGCACAAAGAGTATTTTGTTTTTTTCCCTCAACTTAACATTTACATTTAAAAATAACTCATTCATTCATGTAGACAAACCAATTGAAATACATGACTAATTTGAAAATCAAACAAGAACACCTCTTAACGAGGTAAAAATCTAGTGATGATGACGTTTGCTGAAGGTGCGATCGTCACTAGATTTTTACCTCGATAAGAGGGGTTTTTGTTTGATATCAGAAGTTTTTGTTTTAAGCACATACATTTTAAATCCCATAATTCATCTTCATACAGCTTCAATTTTCTTTATTTTTACTTTTACAATCTTTCTAATCTTTTTCCCAAACGAACTAAAATGTTTAAAGTCTTTGTATGCAATCTTTTTAGGTTTTGCAATATCCTTTGATTGTTGTACCACTAGTTATGATCGGACCATCACAGCAGTGATGCAGTGGGCTTCGTCACAGTAGGTTTCCATTTCTTCGTGTGTACATATATAGTAGTCGCCTTCGCACACCCTCCTGGTGCGATTCGTCACTACGTGGACTGCCGTCCACAGTGATTAGAGTTTTCAATTTGGCGCCTTACTAGTTCTGTAAATGACTAGCAGAACTGTTAAGTTGAATTAACAGCGGCATTCCAGTGTGACAGCACTTCAATATAGAAAATGTACTAACATCTCGTCCTATTTACTTAACCGGTTTGATTTCAAACGGGAAAAACTAGTGGTGGTGCTCGGTCATAGCTTAAGTTTTACATTTAAAAATAACTCATTCGTAAGGGTCTGATACAACAAATACAAAAGTAGATAAGTGTTGACCAAAACTCACAGTTTCAAACAAAACGGGGCTACGCAGACAAATCAATTGAAATACATTGAATAATTTGAAAAATGGATATTTCAAATTGGCGCCTTACCAGTTCTGGTAAAATGTCTAACAGCACTGTTAAGTTGAAATTAACATCTGCATTCCAGTGTGACCGCACTCCAAAATTGAATTGGTGCTTGGTCGTGTGTCGCTCTCGCAGAAATCGAAAAATTTTTGAAACGAGCGGTTGGTGCGCGCTGCTCCGTTAAAATCAAAGAAAAAAAATCTGAAATTTACGTCGCTTCGGAAAAACAGCCGGCAAAGATATTATGAGTTAATATTTGTTTTTCTTCCATCCGCCGTGTTTCGCGGATAAAAAATCGAAGATCTCGGCATGAGGATTGGGGAAATAATTAAGTGTGGTGTACTTATGCAGCGAATTCTTAGCGCGCAAAGCGTTTTGAAAAAGTAAACAAATAAAATGCATGTTTCAATGGAAATCTGAGTAAAAAAGTTACCTGTTTTGTGATTTCTTTGCCACCCCCGTTTGGTGTGTGCGTGTGTGCGAGCGCGTCTGTGTGAGTGTTGTGTTTTTGTGTAAAAGGAAAACAAAACGGAAGGCTGAAACAACAGCAGCAGCAGCAACAACAAAAACAAAGAGAGCAGTGTGTGCGAGGAGTGCGGCCAGCGGCAAAATGCCGGCGACAGCGAATTCGTGGGTGTTGTTGCTGTTGTTGTTGGTCGCGGTGGAAAGATGCAGCAGCAGCAACAGCAGCGGGCGCATCAATAGTCGCAGCAGCAGCAGCGGCTATCGGAAAATGCAGTGGCAGGAGCAACAGGAGTCCCCCACCTTGCGCCCCCTGCCCGAAAAAGGTACGTGTGCTATCTCCCTCCGGCCCGTTGGCATCTCTGAGTCTCTCTTGGCTCTCGGCCCCTCTTGCCTCTCGCTCCCTCGCATCTTAATTGTTGTTAATCTGCGGTGCATTAACCTGTCCTACGTAAACATGTCCCCCACTCTCTCTCTCTCTCTCTCTCGCTCTGTGCCCCACCCCCCTCCCCCGGCTGTGCCAAAAATAACAACTGCTCTCCGTCTGCAGCCTCTTTGTCTCTCTGTTTTTTGTTGTTTGTGTGTCTGTGTGTCACCCCACCCCCCGCCCCCCACCAGCCATCGTTCACTTTGTTATGCAAATTCCTTGGTTTCCTCGCTCGCAAAAATGCCGCAAAACAAATGGAAAATAGAAACAAAAACAAGTGTATGTGCAAGAATATTTTTGTCGCTTGTTTTTTGCGGACTCGCGTGGAATTTTCACGCAACAAGAATTGAATAAAAATATTTGTGCGCCATGGAAAGAAGCAGAACGCGAGGATAATCATAAAAATGAGTTAAGTTTAATATACTCTGGCTCAAAGGGGTTTGGAAATGTATAAGTATAATAATAGCATTTCAAAACCTTATCTTTATATTGTATTTACCTATGTTTATGTTATTTTTTTATAATCAGTGGAGGATAGTAGAATATTTTTTTTTATTCAAACCAAAATTGTACTATTTTGCAGTAAATTTACTTTTAATAGAGTTAACCAGTTTAAAAAAGTCCTTACAGTAAATAAATACAAATATTCAGATAGTTAGGTAAGTGCATTTGAGATAAAAAAGTTTTTGTGTGAACAAATTATTCCGAAAGAGTGGTCTGAAAATATTGTGGCACCAATTAGTAATTGAACTTTTCACTTGAAAACAATATGGTTCGCATTTGCTGTCCGCCTCTGATGATGATACCAAATAAAACACTTATTTCGCTGAAAAATTGCACAGCAACAACAAATGAATTTAAATAAATTATGTACGTACAATGGACTTCTTGACGGGGCGCGCATTATGCATGCACATGGGCCATGACCCGAGGGTCCAAAAGTCTCCGCACAAAGGCCACCATCTCGTTAAGATACAGATAACGAGGGACGCGTAGAAGTAAATAAAATTAAAGTAAGCATTTCCTCATTTGAAACTATGCGACGCCAGAACTTTGTCACAATTTAAACGAGCCAAATGCACAGAAGGCACCGAAATCAATCAAATAAATTGTCTGTCTGACATTCCCAACAAGACATCACAGGGTGTAGCGTACATAAATGGCAAAGTAGACAGTCGGGGGAACTATTTGATTATTAAGTTCAGTCACTTGTTTCGCCTTCAAGTTCTGTAATTGTATCCCTCAAAGAAACGGATTTCTAAGTCCTATCGCAAAATTTAACTTAATAAATTGGTATAAATTACTTTGTCCTGGCTGGTTAAAATTGCCTTCAGTCTTTTTACCTTTCACCATCTGTCCAGTTATTAATTGTTATTTACCATGTGTGTTCTGTTTCCAAGGTCGTTCACTTGTCTTTTAACAAATCGCATAATTAAAGCAATTTGCATATTGTTAATCCAGATAAATGGAAGTGGCTTTATGCTTTATTTAAAGAGCGCTTATTCGTGCGAACTCTATTGGAATTGTTTCTGTGATATTCTTGTTTCGTTAAGACTTCCATGTGTTAAAGTTAAAATATATGGATGAAATGCAGCGGGAAAACTGATCTTTAACTGAAAAAACGAATTGGTTTGTTTATTTTGGTAAATTTAGGTAAAAAACCTTAGGTAACGTACGTTTTCTTATTAAACGTATGGCAATTTTGAGATTAAAGCCTACTTTTAGTTTAATACTGCACAAGAAAACGGCCCCAAGAGTTGTTTTTGTACTACAAGCTGATTCTTTTAACAAGATTAAAGTTTTAAATTGATGGGATCGTTACGCAAATGTTTTAAAATATTTATAAGAAATTTCCTAACGTGTTCCCAACCAATCTAAGAAAACGTCTCGGAAGCTATGTAACGCGGGATCGCATAAAAAATATCAATGGGTTTGTTTGCAAAAATTAAATTATTTATTTATAAGTTAGGGAAGAAATGTTACCTTCTTTTTATAAATCCTATCTCATTTGGAACACGCTGTAGCCCGGTCAACAGTTCAACAGTTCTGCGATGCAGTAACAATTTGCGACCCGTGCACAAATTTGTGTAGCCAACTGAAGTGTTTCGCAGTAAGCGTTTCGCCCCCGCGGGTCAAAAGGGGGTGGTGGGAGGCAGAGGTGAAGGCCGTGCTTTCAACCCTACAGTAAACCCTCCCCTTTGCCGCTGCTGCCTTTTCTGCCTTTGCCGTCCAGGTCTGGCGGAAATATTGCGGAAATCGTTTATCATGTCGCCAATGGCTCTGTTTTAATAATTGCTGTCCGCGTTAAACGGTCGAAGAGGGAAAAAGGGGGAAAACCGGATGTGAAAGTGGGAGTGGCACGCCTCATTTGGGCTCGCAATCGGTTAGCAGAAGATGCGATGAAAGCGCACCGATTGGCACTTGCGATATATTCATGACTGCAACTCTTCCTCGGTTTATGCGAGGTCTATTTCCATAGATCGGTTCTTGGGAGGCTGAATTAATGAAGTCAAATTGGTAGTTATTAGGGGATTTTGGATTTGCAACATATACACTAAAATTGTGTTTTGTAAGTACAATTGAAATATTAAATCCTCTTAAATAAATTGATTGTATAAGTGTATATAAACAACAACTGAGTAGCTTACAATTAATAATAGAATTGTTAATATAGAATTACTATTTAGAAAGAAATTAAATAACACTGATTTTTTCTTATCTTGCTGGTATGTTACTAAGTCACGAGTTCGATCACTGATTAGGCTTTGTAAACAAGGTTCAAAAGGTTAATCATTTGATTATTATTAGCTGATACTCTTGAATCTTTAATCTATGACTAAAAGACTCTAATATATTAAAATATGATTTGCCTATGCAAATAGCAGGTGCTTCTTTACATAATTTTGAAATCATAGCTTAAATGTGGTTTTGAACAGTTGTTTTTTTATTAACGAAATATATATAGTTATATATTACTTGTCTTGAAGCGGGAATATTCAAATTATAAAGTGTTAATGACTTTTTTCGATAAAATTATGAATCCTTTTTCATAGATTCCTACATATTATGTGCATAGGCCTTTCTTATTTTTACCGGACTTCCCATCAACGCCATCTGTCAACGTACAAAGTTCGGATTCACCTTTAAACCAAATTTTTGGCCGCCGCATTTATTCTCACTCGGGTCCGTTCAAGTTCCACGTTAAGTTTGTTTGTTTGCTCGCCTCAAGTTCAAGAGCAAACGATAACCTGTCCGCAGACGATTAGGTAACACCAACAACAATAGAAACAAACAAGTTTGTAAGGTGAGTTACAAACACACCGACACACGCACACACACATCTAACACCTGCTTAAAGAGCCAAAGAAAAAATGGAAAAGCAAAGCCAGAAAGAAACAATTTGCCTTTAGCGGGGCCAACAAACAAGAAAGCAAGTTGGCCAAAAGCAAAGCAAACGGGGCCCAAAACAAACTGGACAAGCCGGCCGGCTTGTGAAGCGGAAAAGGGAAACAAGAGTGGTGGGAAATCGGGGAAAAATCTGGTGGGCAGCCTTTAAAGTTTTCCGGATTCCCCATTTTTTATACATTTTTTACCCCTGCATAATTGAGTCTGGAAATTCGGTTAAGCCAGTAATTTGTTGCAGAACAATTATGTGGAAAATCCATTCGGGGGTTTCTTTCACACACGAAATTCCCTCGCTTTTCCTTTTCCCCTTTTTGCGAATTTTTTATGCAAGACGTTTTTTCTATATTGATTTATTGTACAATTTATTGTTGCCGCTCAATGCAGGCGAGCTGCTGTGTGCTGTCTTTATTGTATTTCTGCTGGCTGCAAGCACATTTATGGTCCGTCTGGCCTCGAATGACGCACCACCGAGAAGGGGATGCACAAGAAAAATCCAGGATCAACCCCAGAAGAGGACTGTATGACATTTCAAAGGACTGTCCTAGCTAAAAATTCATGCCTTGAACAAACCTAATTATTATAGATTTGTTATTTAAAACAAAATTGTTTTAAAATATCAAAAAGTTAATTTTATCCATGTGTATTTTTTGTTAAAGGTTAGGCTTTAGAACTTGGTTTGTTATGGGGATTCTAAAAAATTGGTTATATCTTTTGTATCACACACAAAATTCGTTTTATATCGCAAATTTCTTCCCGTGTGGGTCTAAGAACTGGAACCGGTTCAGATTGGATCGGTTGGGTTCGGTTCGCCGAACAAAGACACCAACACCGCCAGGGGGTCTAGACGAAGTGCCCAATATGGTCATGGGCAGGACAGTTGGCCAGCGCATATGTTTTGTTGTCATCATCAGCGATGACTTGACTTTCAGCCAGGAACTAAAAAGCTGAACTCACGAGTTGCTATTAATTGCCATCTACTCATCGAGGGTGTTTTCCCATTTCCCCATTGGCAGAGTTTTTCCTCATCCACCCAGTTGTCTGTATTAAATTTTCCATTTCGTTAGCAAGTACTGAAAAATGTCAATTGAAGAATTGCAAATAAATAGATGCCAATTAAAAATTCATTGTGCTCACAAAATGAGTTGCCACTTAAAAAGTCATCGGAAAAGCTAAACGCTAAAGTTGCAGAAAGAATTTTAAAATTAATAAATTTTAAATTAATATGCTTATTTTGTGACTAAATTGGTTTTTTTCACAAAATTTCTAAGTTTAATCAGCAAATAAAATACTTTCGCCGTGATTTGTGTTTCTGTCACGATTTTAATTAAGCGGGTGCTTACCCACACGTTGCTTTTATAAGTTTTAAAAAGTGGCTAGAAGTGTTGTTTGCTTTTTACAAATTTAAATGATTAATAATCCAAATGTTTGTCAAACGTGAATTTACTTTTTCCATTTGCGCACTCATTTACCCACCCACAGAGTGCACTCAATTTAGTTTTAATTAGCAATGAGCATGAAATGATTGTACGAAAAGCTACAAACTCAACGAGCATCTCGAGTGAACCTCGCCATTTGTGCCCCTTGTGTTCCACAACCCCTTTTCCTCCTCCACTCGGTGCATACTTTTGGCATAATTATTTTTTTACATAATGAAAATATATTTTATAATTGCCTGGAGCCGAGAGAGGGCCATACAGCAAAGTGGCTTACTTGAGGTCAAATATTTTTCGCATTCAATTGAAATGAGAAGCAGCTGAAAATGCGGGGCTTTAAAACAAGATGATCTGAGTGGAATGTCGGACTTTCAGAATATCGAACTGACTCATTAAAAAGTAGGTATATCAAAACGTAATTAAATTGGGTAGGACTGTCCAAAAAAAACATGTTAAATTTTAGCCAGCCTGTAATTTGCTTTCAATAAATCAAAAACAAATAGGCGAACGTAATGCTAAAAGCTCTTCAAAAGCAGTTAAACTCTGAAACAGCAAAAGCATCAACAACAATGGACCTCGGATAATCTCTATATATGGTCAGCACTCGATGTTGATGTGTTGCTGGCCAGTTTTCTGTGGCATCGTTAGAATATTGAAAATGCATTAAAACGGCACTACGGATTTGCTTGCGGACAGTTGGAGGGGGGCGAACTCGGACTGGGAAGTTCTACGTAAGTAGTAAATGTTATACTCGTGTAACAGCAAAACCGCAAAGCCAAACCAATCCTTCACCCATAGACTCTGATGGCATTTTCTCATGGCTTATGCGCAACCGATTTTGCAAACCTAGAACGTGTGTTTACCAAGCCTGATTATCCGCATGAACCTGGGTCAGTACGAACGGTAGTAGTACCATATTGCTGTCCCCCACCCTTTATAATACAAATATTTCATAAAGTTTATATTATTGAAGCCCGCTTCTATTTTAATTGTGTATGTAAACTGACATATTATTTTCAATACTGGTCAAAGGGGATAAATTCGGAATTTATGTAGCCCACATCGAAAAATTTTCAAATATAGGCATTTTTATGGAAATCTTTAGTTTATTAAAATAAAAGAAATAGATGAGAACCAAAGGGTGTTTAAGTCGTATCAAATTAAAATGTAAGATGTAATATTATTATAACTGAAGATCAAGTATCATTTAATTATTTTAAGGGTTACCATAGGGGCTTTTTTGGAGCACTGGAAATACTAATCAAATAAGTATACACCTCAAAAATACCAACTCATAAAGTTTAACAAGATTTTGCTTAAAAACTCTATAAAACCATTAAACTGGAAATGATAATTCCCTATAATAATAATATTATTAGAACTAACTACCCGTTAAATGGTTTTAATATTGAAAAAACCTTAAACTTCGTGTGATATTTTTTCGCTGCTATCCCCAGGTATACGGTTCTGTTCCTCGCTTTGCATCCATGAAACATTTTACAAAGTAATTTGACCGAACGACGACAGGCGGTATTATGGGCAGAGGGGATAGGAAAAGGAAAAGGGGGGTTGGCAGGCAAAACGCAAATTAATGATACGCAATTGCGGCAAATCGCACGCTTCCATGTGGGCGACGTTTTGTTTGAAGTGCACTTTGTCCTGTGTGTGTGTGTGTGCAGTGGGGCAGTGGTGTAGTGGGTGGTGAAGTGGGTGGTGTGGTGGGTGGTGTAGCGGGTTGCAAAAGGGGTCTCGGATGTAATTGCAAGCTGTCGTTTGCCCGCTTTTTCCCATCTGCACCGCGGCATGTCCGTCTCCGCATCGCGTTGTGGCAGGTTCTCAATTAGTTGTATTAATAACAGTCTGATGCCTCTCGGTTTCCACAAACTACATTTGGTCAAAATGAACTAAGGATTACAAGCGAACTGGACTAACGTAAAAGCAATGCAATTTTAAGGGTATGTTATTTTATGATCCCATGCGGACTATATTTTGACTTAATTTGAATTTTGGCACAGTTTTGTAATTTTGCAACGTTGGAAAAGCAACTTAACTGTCTAAGCAAATAATATTTGTTACAAAGCGGAAGATATTAAACTCTTGACTGATTTTAAAGCGATTTTTCTGTTCATAAAATTCTGATGATATATCATTTTAGTCGTATTTTAGTAGATCAACAGAACTATAAAAATATCAAAAACACTTTCAAAAGCAACTCTTCCTTAATTAAGACATACAATTACAACAAAAAAAGAGTTCAAGTTTTCTAGTGAAACTTGAGGTTTGCGTTCTTGCACCGCCGTAAAACGTGATTTTTATGTTGTTTAAAAAATATATTCTTAACATAAAGGGTATCAAGGGCAGTACTCGTACCCTTTTAAGTACAGCTTCCTGGAATTTTCCCTTTTTTCTGTTTTTTTTTGTTTTAGCATATTTGTCTACCTTTGGCGCACTCGTCGGGGCGTTTTTGTTGTTGCCACTGCTGGTTTTGTGCTGTAATTTGTTCCTCTTCCTTTGTTTGCCCGACTGCAGTTGTTGCTGCCGCGCTGCGTCTGTTATTATAAGCACAGCGCTCGACGCTTTGCAAAATTGTTTCCACCTCCCCCCGACTCTGTATCTTTTGTTTCGCCCGATCCATTTGGAGTAACTGCTTCCTTCCACACCGCCCACTTTCTAGCCCCCGGTTAATCACAGTGCATGGCTTCCATAGATACATGTTGCACTAGCCATCGATGATAACTCCTCCTCGGCGAAACATGTTTCACATGCTCGTTGATGCGTCGCAACTTTGTTCTCTAATTTATGGCTTTGTCCCATCAATTGAGGGAGATTCGTGGGGGGTAGGGGCACCAGAGGATGTTCAATGGGTGGGCAGATCCTTATCAGCGGAACACGCGTCGTGGAACGGGTGGAATCGAACCCCGACAAGCGAGGCATGAAATATGCGCCCTTCTCGCATTAATTGCTGCAAGCCATCCCCCAGAAGGTTTTGAATAATTACTATCGGTTCTGGAAAAGTTCGATCAATATATTTTGGACACGGATATCTGGGATTAACTATTCTTTGAGTTTCTTCTATATAAGAAAAAATATTTTTAATATTTGGTAAATATTTGCTTAATAAAAAGGTTCTTTCAAACATCAAAACATTTAACCAGAACGTTTAACTTAAATTCAAATACTACAAAAAGCTAATGTTTCTATAATTTTGACATATGTATTTATAATAGAACCAATACCAATTTAACTGACAGTTTAGTTTATATGATTTTCTTTTCGAGAAACATTTTTCAACGTGCAAATAAACACGGTTTTAATTAAATTTCCATGAAAAACATTTAACCAGAACGTTTAACTTAAATTCAAATACTACAAAAAGGTAATGTTTCTATAATTTTGACGTGTGTATTTATAATGGAACTAATACCAATTTAACTGACAGTTAGGTTTATATGATTTTCTTTTCGAGAAACATTTTTCAACGTGCAAATAAACACTGTTTTAATTAAATTTCCATGAAAATGTAATAACGTGTGAGGGCTGCTAACTATTTAATTAAGGGAACGGCTTTCAACCCTAATACAATTAAGGGCGGCTAAAATATTTTAGGAAGGCTGGCCTAAGCCAGCAACACTAATTAAACCAATTAAAATATTAAATCAGCCAAATTCCTACGCCGAATCATATCCTTTTCCCTAGGTTTTGCCATAGTTCATTTGGATAAGTTTTCAAGCGCGTTATGCGCGGCTGGAGGAGAAAAGTGGAACGTGTCAGGGGCAGGGAGTTTGTTTCTCTTGCTCGCTGACAAAGTTTGTTAGTTTTAGCGCCAATTTTAATGTGCAAACTTTTGGCGGAGACTGTTTCCAGCCACGTTTTGTCAGCCACTGTGCGGATGGGGTAGCTCTTGGGGGTGAGAGATCGCTTCGGGTTGAATGATTAGCAAAAGTTTTTCATTTTCTGTCTCCCTTACTTATAACTGGGAAATTAAGTATTTTGTGCAGTCCAAACTTGAACTAGATTAGAAAGGGGGACGAGGGGACATAAATGCCCTGTGAAAGTAAAGTTATTTTCCGCGGAAAGCTGTTTTGATGGGAATAAGTTTAGTAGTGATAATGAAATGAAACTGGAACGAAAACTGCAGATGGAAATTTCAATATAAATCCCTCAAAGAGGCTCACATTATAAAATACCACCGCAAATGTTAATATTTGAATGAGTGTTAATACCTTTTATAAACACCTGCAAATCAAAAATCAGTGACGGTATCTGCCATCAATCAAATTCCTTTGTTTGACCCTTAATTAATTACTACTGGCGCGGCCATAAAAACTGCCTGGGCTCAACATTTTTTGTTATTGAATATCCACTTTTTATGAATTGCCTTAATTGTTAAAAATAATAAAGCAATAAATACTTCAAAAAAACGTTAAAGGATAAAACAATAAAGCAGCGCAAAGTTGCAATTCATTTCCACAATATTTCCAGTGCCATTGCCGTTGATGATTTGTGTAATTTGCGCCCTGGCGAACAATTTTTCAATTTAATGAAAGCGGAGTGAAAGAGACGGATCATTTCCGCCGTCCCTGTCCAATCCGGCATATCGACATCCCGATGCTGACAGAATTTCAATTTATGCTCGGGATAAAACGTAAAAAACACACTTTAATAAATGTATATTGTAGGCATGAAATATATATCGGAGATATTTTACACGACCCGCCAGTGGCTGCATAAACAAACAACATGGAATGCGGCCCAGACATGCGGATTGATAGAGTGCTTAATTGACAAATGATTGACAACTATGGCATTTCAGAGGCGCAGGAAAAAAACCATTTATAAATGATATGTAACCTTATGGTTTGGCGGGCCATCAGAAAGTCCATCAGATCTGTAACAAAGCAGCAAAATGAAAAAATTAAATAATTGAATGGCTCCTATAGAATTTTTTTGTTTCCAATTTGCAATGTAATTTTTCAATCATTCTTTTCAGTCATTTTCCGATTCCTATATTTTTTCAGATTCTATTTGTCTGCTGACTTACCACAGATAAAACCTTTCCAGCAGCACATTTCTGGAGTGCTCTTTTCCGCTTGCAACCCACCCTCCCTTTAAAGTCACAAAAGTCACCACCAAACCAAAAAAAAAGCAGGCCAAACCACCCGAGCCAATCCCTTTATATTTCATCAATCTTTGTTAATCATTTTTCTACTATGTTACAAAAAAAAAACGAAGCAGGAATAGCCACAATTTTCGTTATACATTTTTTCAAAAAGGGACGAGATGAATGCAAAACTCGAAACATACTTTTAAAGGCCTGCTGGCACCCGCATGTTTTCGTAATATGCTAGTTTCCTTTAGAGGTCCTGAATATTTTTCGCTTATGAACTCTTCTGTTAAACCGTTGGAGGTTCGATAATTAAAAAAAAACATACTTTCGACCATATAGACCTTCCACCAAAAATGCTAGGTTAAAATATAAATCAGCTGTCTAAGTATTGCCACACACCCTTGATTAAAAATTCAAAGTATTTAATAAACTGATAACAACATATTGAACAACTCTAGTTTAAAGTTGATAAGAAACATATTTTAGAGGAATATTAAAACGAATATAATACTAAAAAAGCATTTCATATCAGCAGAAGTTCAGACCCTTGACAGGTTTGGGTGTCACCCATTCCGCTTTAGTTTGACTTTAAGAAATGTTGATAGACACCCTCATTTCCTTCTTCTTCGTCATATTTCATGCCCCCATTTCCTTCCACTTTTGTGGTTGCTCTGGTTTTGTTTTAGTTGAAATACTTTTTTCTAGTACTTGTATTTTCTAGGAAATTAAAATGAAGCTTTGTTTCAATCTACTGGCTTTTGTTGTGTGTTTGAAGTGAAAAATTTTTAATTTCCTCGCAGCCACAAAAGAATTCGCAGCTAGCTAATCCCGGGGACAATAAGGGGGCAGAAATAAGAGGGATGCT